GAACTTCTTCATCTAAATACAACTTTATCTGGCCCTGGCTGGTGAAGTACTAATGCTGGAGAAATAAGAAAAGGGCCTACAGTTTTAGCAAATGCTAGACTAAAAAGCTTAAGTTGAGCCCTGGCTGGTGTGACTCAGTGGACTGAGCTCTGGCCTAGCAACCAAAAGTTCCCCAGTTAGGACATGTACCTGGGTTGCGAACCAGGTCCCAAGATGGGGTGTGTGAGAGAGGTAGCCAACGGACGTATTTCACATCTCCCTCTCTTTCTCCTTCCTTCCCCCTCTCTCTGAAGGTAAATAAAAAAATCCTTAAAAATAATACAGCTTTATCTGTCTCCTATAAATTTTGACATGTAGTATACTTATTATTACTGTTTTAAACATTTCTAAACTTCCTTCATGATTTTTTTAAACCCAAGGGCAATTTACAGTGTTATTTATACTATATACAAAAGTTAATTTGTAATGCAATAAACCTTTGTGGTTGGAGAAGACAGTCTGTATGATAAGGATGATGATTTTATGGAATTTATTTAGGCTTTGTTTGAGACCTAATATATGGTCCATTTTTGTAAATGACCAAGATGTTTGAATATAATGTGTATTTGCTATTTTTTGAATATAGATTTCTATATAAATAGTCACTTGAGCATTTTAGTAGTGTTAATTATGTCCTCAGTATTTCTGATTACTTTTTGTCTGTTACAGTTATTTCTTAGTGATATGCATTAAAAATTTCAGCTACAGCCCTGGCCTGGTAGCTCAGTTGGTTAGAGCATCATCCTGCTATGCCGAGGTTGCAGGTTTGATCCCTGGTCAGAGCACATATTAGAATCTACCGACGAAGGTATAAATAAACAAAGTAGAACAACAAATCGATATTTCTATCTGTCCAAAATCAATCAGTAAAAAATATTTAAAAATTTTCCGCAACAACTGTCAATTTACCTCTATTTCTTTGGTAATTCTGGTAGTCCTTGCTTGATATATTGTGGATATACTTAAGGAGTTTATTTGCCCTATTTAACATTTAGAGAGTCAAGAGCCCAGAACTTGTATACCAAATCTGTGATGCTAAGAACCTAAGCTTCTTCTGTCTAACTGCTTTTTCATTCCTGGAGTATTGCTCTGTTTGCTTGGTCCAAGATGGCTCACCACTATGTCTTCTGAAAGACAAGCACCTTCCCTTTGATGTCGTTATGTGGAAGTTGCAATCATTGCTCCTGTTCACTTTCCATTGGCTAGAATGTCATCACTTGAGCGTTTTTAGCTCTAAGGGACACTGACAATTTTAGTTTTTATTTTGGTGCTGTGCACTAACATAAATACATAAATAATTAAAAATCAGGATTCTATCAGGGTTCTATTACTAGAATAGAAGGGAAAAATAGATATTGAGAAATAACTGTCTCTCACAGGGCTCAACATTTTCTATGTAATCATTCATTTAATCCCTTTCTTTTCTATATCCTTCTTCTAACCTCAATGTTCACTCAGTTCAACATTCTTTTTGTTCTTTCCTCTCCAGAAAATAAACTTCCAGTTTTCTATTGGCTTGAGGGAGAAGATTTAGAGGGTCTAATTTCTTTTTAAAAATTTTCAACCTAACCCACTTTTTCAGCCCTATCTACATTCCCTACTCCTCGAAATAACTGCCACAACAAATTTTTGAATTGTTTGTGGTTTTAGTATTTTCAGTGTGGTTGTTTCCTGGCTTTGCTTAACGGGATTCCCTTTTCTTAGTCTGCTATGTTAGTTACTACTTGTCCATCTCTTTCCCAGCTTTTAAAATTTTGTTGCTGTTTCTTCTCCTCCCATTCTCTTTAATCTTGAGTTTTACCTTAAAATAATTCCTTTATTGTTGTGTAGACAAATTTCAAAAGGGAATGGGTGTAAAGGTATGTGTTCAACTATCGTTAACTGAAAGTCCTCTCTAAATCTTGTTATAATTTTAATTTCCCCAAGATAAAGTCCCCTTTACCCTCATTACTTGCTATGAAATAATTGGTATCCATTTTTAAAAAAATTTTATTCAGCCCTGGCTGGTGTGGCTCAGTGGATTGAATGCCAACCTGTGAAACTAAGGGTCTCTAGTTCAGTTCCCAGTCAGGGCACATGCCTGGGTTTTGGGCCAGGTCTCCAGTAGGGAGAATGTGAGACGCAACCACACATTGATGTTTCTCTCTCTCTCTCTCTCTCTTTCTCTAAAAATAAATGAATAAAATCTTTAAAAAAATTTTTTTTAGAGAGAGCAATAATGAGAGGAAGATACACATGGATATGGAAGAGAAACATCGATACGTTGCTTCTCGAACATGCCCCGAGCTGGAACCAAACCTGCAACCCAGGTATGTGCCCTGACCAGGAATTGTGATTCAATTCCTGAAACTACTGATTGTGAGATTTCACTTTGTGGGAGGAAACTCAACCAATTGAGCCACAGTGGTCAGGGCTGGTGTCTATTTTAAGTGGATAAAGTTTGGGTGAATTTTTTCCAGTTCTAATTATGATTATACTATTATTGCTTTATTCATTCATTCAACAAGTTAATTTTGGACACATAGTATGAGTCATTGGGGATTTAGCTGTAAACAAAAAAGAAAAGGTCACATGGAGCCTATATACTTAAAAGGGGCTGAGAGTTAAAAAACCAAGTAAATAACTTTAGATTTTGATAAGTACAATGGAAGAAATAAACAAAGGGAAGCTAATATTGATTGAATTGCCAGGGAAGTTCTGATCTCAATCAAAATTAGCTTCCCTTTATTTGAGATTAGGCGTAACATAAATAGGAGCTAATCATTCAAAGTATTGGGAGAAGAGTTGCCTAGGCATTGAGGCAGGAAGTACAAAGGCCCTTGTATATGAGAAAGGGCTTGGGCATTCTAAAGAACAGAAAGGAGACCAGTACGTTAAGACTGTGGTTAAGGAAGGGAAGTAGTATGAGATGCATTTGGAGAGGTGAATGGCGCAAGATCATGTAGAATCTTGTAGGTAATGATAAGGAGCTCAAAATTTCTTCTAAGAGCAATCGAAAGCTGTTCAAGGATGGATAGTGACATAATTTGATCTACAATATAAAAATATTTTTCTGGCCCTGACTGGTATGGCTCAGTTGGTTGAGCATGATCCCACAAAGCAAAAGGGCACAGGTTAGATTCTGATCAGGGCACATGAGTGGGTTGTAGGCCTGGAGTACGTATAAGAGGCAGTGGATCGATGTTTCTCTCCCTCTCTTTCTCCTCCCTTCACCTATCTCTAAAAATAAGTAAATAAAATATTTTAAAAATAAAATCTGTTTTAAAATATTTTTCATAAGACTGACTTCTTTAAAGTCAGAGATGGTGTCTTTTGTCCTCAGGACCAGTACAAAGCTTTGCATATCATAATTGCTCAGTGAATATTATTTTAGCAGATCCATGGGTCACACAATTTACTGGACTGGGTTTCTCAGGCCCTAGCCCTGGCCTCAAGGACTCTGGAGAGATTGCTCCCCCTTCTCCTACCCCAACAGTCCAGTCACCATATTATCACACTAAGGTAGCATGAGCCAGGCACAATGCTTATTGTTGAAGCAAGCATTATTACCTCTAATTCTCACAATATCCTTAAGGAGGGGTGGATACTTATATTGTCCTCATTTTACATTTAATCTAAAATGTTATGCAAACCAAAGGGTCGCAGATTTGATTCCCAGTCAGGGTACATGCCTGGGTTGAGGACGAGGTCCCCAGTAGGGGGCAGCGAGAGGCAACCACACATTGATGTTTCTTTCTCTCCCTTATGCCCTCCCTTCCCCTCTCTCTAAAAATAAATTTAAAAATTCTTAAAAAAAAAATAAAATGTTACATGACCTGGCTCATGTTACCCAGCTAATAACAGAGAAGCCCATGTCTATTTGCCCACAGGAATTGTCATTTTCAGGTCCAGCTCTGTACCCTCAAAGATTTCAACCTGCCTAAGCCTTGCCAGACTGAAATAAGAATCCTCTCCAGGAATCTTTACCAGCATGTCTGAATCTGGATGTAAATAAAATCCTATTCCGATCAATGTAGGCAAGGCCATGGTGGAAAGCAATGACTGACGTTTCAGGTGTGGGGAAGTGCAACCATTTCAGCCTGCCAATTATCTTCCACTCAGGTGCAGGAAATGAGGAGCATTGCTTTCCATAACCGACTTGGCTTGCAATTTTCTGAGCAAGTCACACCTTTCCTAAACCTTGGTTTCTATTTCTATCAAATGGGATATAAACCATCGATCTGACTAGTAGCGATAAGATTAAATAAGACTGCTATTAGCGTAAAGTGTCTAAGCACAGTACCCCCACACCTAATAGGCAAATGAATCTTAGCACTTAGTGGAGGCGTAAGAGCTGGAAACACTAAACTAGTCAGATTTTGAGTCTGGGTAGGGCCTAAGAGGATGGCGTCAGTGGATTGGGCCAGTCGCAGGGGGCGTGTCCGAAGGGAGGAGCCAGCTACACACCACCACAGAGCTGATCTTTGAATCAAGCGCGGTAGTTTCAGCCGTAGCCAATCCTAAAATAGCATTTCCTTCGGTCAGTTGTTGAGGCTCACAGCCACGCGTCTCTTAACAAGATCAGTTCTAGCCGCTGCTAGTGTGCCCATGCTCGGCTTTTGCGCGTCCATCCGTTAAGGCATCTCCCAGGTTATGTGAGCCGGAAACAGACCCTCTACTCTTCGCTCCAAACATGCAAAGCAGCACTAGCTTCCCTTTCTGTGGAAGCTGTTGGCTGACTCCCAGTCAGGAGTTGTAGTATCAAGATTCCAGTTCTTATGCAACTTGCTAGAGACCGAGCAAGTTGCTTTTTGCGGGGAAAGCAGGCCAGAGAGGAAAGGTACTCCGCAGTTAGAATCGAGGGGGAGGGAGTCCTGGGGCTAGACTGGGCTGCATTCTGGCCCTTTAAATTAGAGGGGGAGGATCCGGAAGTGGATGGGCGGGGCGAATGGATCTCATATATTAGTGGGCCCAGGCGCGCGGGGTCTCCAATCTGCCATTTTCTGTCCCCGTGTAAATCCCTAGCGTCCTAAATTCCCTGTTTTCTCACAGGGTGTATTTCACCCGCTGGCCCACCACCTCAGGGGAACGATGGACGCAGAGTCCACAGCCACTGCCGCCATCGCTGCGGAGCTGGTTTCTGCCGACAGGTAAGCGGGACCAAGAGCTTGAGGCACTGGCCAGTCCGCGGGGAGGGGGTGGCCGACTGAGGCTCCCCGGGAGGGTTTGTTTGGTGGGTTGGAGGACTTGTCTCCCAATAAATAACCATCGCTCTTCGGGGAGGCCTGGATACTGGAGAAGCCCATCACTTAGCAGAGAGCCTCGCGCATTAGCAGTTACGCCGGTTGGCTGGCGCCCCCTGCCCCGGTTTTCGCGGCCGCCATCTTGCCGGGGGCATCGGCCGCTGATGTCTCTATCGCCAGCCCCTTTTCTTCCTCTCTCAGCCCGGGGCTATCGGCGGGGAGGTGGGGCCCTAGCGCGCCTGCGTGTCCTCACGCCCCTACTTTTCCCGCATTCCTGGATGGCGACTTCAGTAGGATACTCAAGCAACCTGAGAAAATAACCAATAGAGATTTGGCGCCAAAAAAAAGCAAAGCCCTGCAGGACAGCAGGGACCCGTGGGGTCCGAGGTGGGCGGAGCTTCTCGGGGGCGGGATCTTGCGCCAGTGTTAGCTTGCCTCCGCTGGGTCTGGAGCAGGGGGCGGGGCCTTGAGGAGGCGGGAAAACTTCCATTGTTTAGGGCTGTGCAGCCGGAGCCGAGGACTTCCGCAGTGGGGCGCGGTGAAGCTTCTTTCTTGAGTTCCCTTGGTTCACCTCTTGGCCTCCTACCTTTTGCCAGCCCATTTCTTCGGCCTCTGGTGGAGAGCATCGTGGTTCTTTGGATTTTGGGAGTGTTAGCGAGAGAAGCTGCTTCTGGGGCTTCTTCGGGAATCAAAGTATCTTTGCCTAGTGCTGCCTGGAGCTTTACGCACTGGCAGCGGTGTTTGGTTGGTGGTGAATGAGCAGTAGTATGCGCGAAGTGTAGTAGAATGACTGGAGGGAATGGTAGAGGACATGATTGCTTCAAAAGCAGCACAGTGCCACTCAGACCTGAAGTATTTGGATAGTGAAGGGAAAGTTCGGTTTATTATAGGAAACAAATGCTTTTTTCCATCTAATAGGTCTGACTTCCCAGTCCTTTTCTTATTTGTTTACTTACTTATTTATAGAAGGGAAGGGAGAGAGAAAGAGGAAGAGAAATATCACGGGTGGTTGCCTCTCACACACCTCCTACTGGGAACCCGGCCGGCAACGCAAACAGGCATGTGCCCTGAATGGGAATCCAACAGGCGACCCTTTGGTTTTCAGGCTGGCACTCAATCCACTGAGTCACACCGGCCAGGGCTCTCAGTTCTCCCTTATTTTTAGGGCCCTTGTTAATTTTCTTTGTGCACTTTAGAAGTTAACTGTCTCCGCTATACCGGGAAAAGTTGCTGAGGTTTTTATGATTGATGTTCTATTTCTGTAGCCTTACACTTTTTTTTAAGTTTAATCTTAATTGTATCTTTTCCATTGCCATTTAGTCCCCTTATACCTTCTCCCCCCAGCAGTCACCGCACTTGGCCATATACATGACTCCTTTGTCCTTTTTGCCCAATCTATCATAGCCTTACACTTTATGATTGTGTTAGTACATTTACTGTTACCAGAGGTTTACTTGTCTCTATCTGTGCCACACACCACTTTTTGGGTCTTTTTGAATATATTTGATCCACATGAGCATACCGTGTGGATCAAATATATTTTTCCTCTTCTGTAGGTAAGAAAAGTCAAGACCAGAATGCAGAAATTCCAAATCAGTGAATTGTAGAGTCTGTGTTAAACTCCAATATTTCAAGGTTTTATTTTGTCCATTCCCACCTAACAGGAAATTGCCTGAAAACCTAATTAGCTAGGCTGGGAGAACAATAAAAAGGCAGCATTCCTCAGTCAAGTGTTGGTTGGGGCTATTCAGAGGTAAAGTGCCTAAGGCTTTGAAGGGGGAGGGTGAAGAAAATGCCTTTTGTGCTTCGACTTTAGTAAGAATCACATTATAATTCCAGCATGACCATTGAAAGAATAAAAACATGTACAGCTTCCAAACCAATCAAGAAAAAGTGGAATGAGAAATAAACTTCAGTTTTTTTTTTCTAATACCAACTTCATTGTTTAAGTAGTAAAGTTTTGTCGTCTGTAAAAAGCTTTAATTTGGCTTCTGTTCCCCATGCCAGTTAAACAATATTGCTAAAAGTAATCAGTAATTGTCTAAATGCTAAATCAGCCCTCATATTAATAGTTAGCTTTCTAACTAGTTTTAACTTTTGTTTAAGTTAGAAAATATAAAGGATATAATTGTTTGTATTGTAATGTTGAGAAGGAATGAGAAAGTTCAGAAAGGAAGTCTAATGTGATGTGTAGAATTTTGGCTTTGCTATCTTATAATAATTCCTGAGCCGCTTATCTGTTGCTTTAGAAGCACTCAATCCACTGAGCCACACTGGCCTGGGCTCTCAGGGTACAAAACCAAGGTACAATCTTTGAGGGTACAAAAGATGTCAAAATAAAAATAAGTGGGTTAGCTCAATAATAAAATTCTACCAAGTAGTAAGATTTAAGTGCCAGGCCTTGAGCTTTGTGCTAGGCTACAGCTAGGATAAAATAGACATGTTTCTTAGAGCTAAATCCTGGTGTGGAGTACAGAAAGTCAATAGGAAATTGAGATATAGTATGAGTTGTGATGGGGTCCACATAGGTTACCAAGTCATCTGTGTAATTGGTTGTTACTTCTCTGTAAAATGGGAATATTGCTACCTGCCACAAGGATGTGTGTGTGAGAGAGAGAACTAAATGAAAATGCAATAGGCACTGCATGTGCTTTGTCTTGTTAGTCGTATGTTTCCTCTGAATTGCCAATTGAATGTTATCCCTGTTCCTTAAACACCTCAAATCAACTGGTCTTAATACATAACCCCCCAATTTTTACTAATGAATCCTGTTCTTGTGTCTTATTTTGTTGGATAGTGCTGTTCCCAACCCCAGAAATAAAAAACTCTGGACTCCCCCTTTCTGCTTTTCTAATTTCTAAACAGTCGTTAGAATTTAGCAGTTTTGTATTCTGTATCAGAGCTTAGGCATGTAAATTGAAGACTGGATAGGGAAAAAATGAAATGGTGGTGATTATAGTGAACTTTTCCTTTAAATAAGCAGCTGCTGTTTAACTAAAGCTGATTACATGATGTTTCCTGTATTTTGCTCTTTTTTTTTTTTTTAACTTGTTTTGAGGTCAGAGGTTGAATCGTGGATATCAGGGATAGTTAAATAGCATTGCCCCCCACCCCTGAACCTATGTGTGGGGTACAAGACATTTTTGTTGTTTTTGTTGCCATTGGTGTCTGAATCTTTGTAGCATGTATGTGCAGAATTAATATTTATTTGTAGTACTCATGTTCTATTTGGATATTTGTGTTCTATCACAATTTGTTGGTTTGTGAACTGTTACTGGTCTACAAAGATAAGTATAAAAAATTGGAGTCAGCATTTAGAAACAAGTTGAACATTGCTCTGACATTTGTGTTATAAATATTTTATAGAAACCCTGCTTCTTATATGTTGGAAATAAAAAGGCTGGTCCTTCAACTACAGGTAATTTGAGGAGCTCTGTGCTAGAATTTGGCCAGAATAACCTCTACTTGAACTTAACTGACTATTATAAAATGTGGATAAAGATACCAGGCCATTTCACAGTTCTGGGCAGATCTTACCTGCTGCTTGAAAGTACTGTCTTTTAAATTGTGCCTTATCCCTGGCTCTCGCTATGAAGTCTTTGCTTATTTTCAACCCTATTTACCTCCTGTTCCTCAGGGATTTTCATCAAATTTGTAAACCAGAATAATATCCACAAAAGGATTGCGAGTTAGGAGCAAAGATTTTGGCTCCTGCTGAAAATAACTGACAACCTTTTATCTCTAAGATATGTTCTAGGACTCAGGCTCCAATATATTTAGTCCCTACTTGTCATCTAATCTCTTCTGCCTTTGTGCTTCTAAACAAGTTGTCCCCTCTGCTTAAGTGTTTTGCCCCAGACTTCTTGTGTTGAATGCTTATCACATAGTAAGTACTACAGTGTCTTTACATTTATTTATTGAGTTGAGGGAGCTCTTTTAATTATTGATTTATTTCATCCTTAAGCATATACAGCGGGGGACCCAAAAAAACCTAAAATTTATTTATTAAAAAATGATGTATTTGTTCTTACTTGTTTAAACTTCATTCAGTTACCTTCAAAGTGCTCTCTGATGTAATATACCTTTCAAGACTTTTCCACTGCCCAGAAGATTCTGAACTCATCGATTTTGATGCCTTTTATATGCTTCTGTCTTTTTTGTTTCCACCTCTTCCACATCAGCAAAATCTTTCCCTTTGAGGACTTTTTTATTTATCCAGGGAAACAAAAAGAAGTCACTCTGGGTGAGATCTGATGAATGGGAAGGGTGGGGCACAGGGGTCATGCAGTTTTGGGGGAGAGAAACTGCTGAACAAGCAGTGCGGTGTGGGACGGTGCGCTCCTAAATCACCCATCATGAAATGTGCAAACTCCTTGAAAAGTGTCTTAAAAATTCACTGAAACCCGACCCAGCTTCTCACAGCAATGACAGCTGGTACACTGATACACATGGGTTCCTAGAACATTCACCTAGTGGGCGAAGCGTGTAATACAAGGGACCCACCCTCCAGAAGATAATTCTGGGGTTTATTGGGGCTCCCCTCGTATTACATATCTATTTTCATAAATTTGGTGTAGCTAAATAAGAAAGTCAGACTGTGAAAAACTAATCAACTCAGTCCTATTTGTTGTGTGTTATTTTAACCTTTTGAGGAGATTTCAGTAATTATATGGGAAAACATTTATTTTCTACAGCTTTTCTCTCATACTTGAAAAGTTTTTCTTTGCTGTACATACTCTAATTCTAATTTAGTGCTTCTGAGGTGTTGGTACTTGATAATAAAGTTGCCTCTCTTCCCACTGTTCTTTTCTCAATGTCACCAGCACAGCTAACAGCATTCTAAGATATCATTGGCAATGTAATGGTCCTTGATTTAAGCTATGGTATGCTTTGAGGACACTTTTTTTAAATTAAAATAAGTCCTTAATTTGATTTTTATTTATCTATTGGGAGGGGAGGCATAGATTTGTTCCGCTTACCAAAGCATTCACTGATTGCTTTTTGTATGTGCCCTAACCAAGGATAGAACCTGCAACTCTGGTGTATTGGAATATGCTCCAACCAACAGAGCTGCATGGCCAGAGCTTGAGGACACATTTGTAAATGACCTATGTCCTTACATGAATATTGCCTTTGGGATATAGGTGAAAACAGATGGCTGGAACAGGTAAAAATGACAAGGATTGAAATGAATACCAAATGAAGGGTGTCGATCTCTGTAGGGTTCCTGTCTTAAAGTGTCCCGAGGTACTATAAAATTGTATTGTAGTCCAGGCTGGTGTGGCTCAATGCACTGAGTGCCTGCCTGCAATCAAAAAGGTCACTGGTTCAATTCCCAGTCAGGGCACATTGGCTGGGTTGCAGCCGGATCCCCAGATAGGGGCATGAGAGAGGCAACAAATTGCTATTTCACACCTCAAGCTTCTCTCACTTTCCTTCTTCCTCCCCTCCCTCTAAAAATAAATAAAATCTTTTAAGATTTTTACTTAAAAAATTATATTGTAAAGAAAGGGTAAGTTTTTCTTTACCTTTATTTGCCAATTTTTGAAATAATGCAGAGGTCTCCTTATTGTTCTCCAAAAATGACTAATGAGTTTTTTGATTTTGTATCATTGAGAACTTATGTTTAAACATATTCGAAGTTTTTTGATCCATTGCAGTTATCTTTGTTGATGCTAAATTTGTGCCTTTTGGCCTGTGGGATTTTAGGTTGATTCCTGGATATACTTTTGGAATGTATTTATAAATTACTATGAAACATGTCAGCTATACAGAAAAGTTGGGGGGGGGAATAGTATAAAGAATTCCTGTGATTACCCCTGGATTCCCCATATTTCCTTTTTAAAAATTTATTTATTTATTTAGAGAGGTAGGAGAGGGAGAAAGAAGAGTTTGCCTCTTGTACAACTGAGAAACCCGCAACCCAGACATATGCCCTGACAGGGAATCAGCTGGCTGTCTTTCGCTTTGTGGGTCTACACCTAATCAACTGGTCAGGGCAGATAGGCTTTCAATACAAAAGTATAAATCATGGGGGGTATAATTCCTTTTTGCATGACCATAAGTAGATACGACCCTAAGTAAGAATAGATATCTTCCTTTTTGGCATGTAATTGTCTCAGACTTACCTTTGTACTTGTTCTGCTCCAGCTTAGAATTGATTGTCTCAGTGGAGTCTTGATTCCTTTAGTGAGAAATATATTTTCAGGAATAGACTCTGGGTATTAGGAATACTCACTGCTATTGAGTTGGTTGTTATTTCTACATCTTTTCAGTAAACACAATTATAAAATGTTTTTAAAGTATTTATTAGGACTTTAAAATGCATGTTCTGGGAAACTTTTCTTCCTTTTTTTTAAAAAACTTATTTTTAGCAGTTTTGTAGAATGAGGTTTATCAGGACTGTATATATTGCATTATAACAGAAATAATTGCATTCTCTTTTCATCTGATCATAAATTCAAAGCTAATAGGTGACTGTCTTGTTTATAGTATACCTTATGCCTAGCAAATAAGAATTTAACATGTATTTGAGTAGGATTAAATTTAATAATGTAAGTACCGTATTTTGCCCTGTATAATGCATCTCCCCCCCCCCAACTTTTTAGGGAAAACTAAGAATATGCATTATACTGGGTATAATGATTTCATACCATGAGTATAATAATGGGCATAACAACCTGTGTATAATGTACACAAAAACATGGGTGTGCATTATACATAGCAAAAAACGGCAAATATTAAGCCTTTAGTATCATGTTGGGCTTTTAATAAATGGTATTTATTTCATAACATCTTTAATTTTCAGACTCAATATAATCTCAATTTGTATTTTTCCCCCTAATTTTTCATTATAGAATTGAAGAAGATGCTCCTGCTCCTTCTACCTCTGCAGATAAAGTGGAAAGGTAAGATTACTTACATGGTACAATTAGATTTATATCTGGAACATAAACTGTAAGAGCTGTATAACTTCAAGGCAGTTTCATCATCATTATTTATTCATTCATTCATTTATTTATTTTTAACAACTTACACATAGTTTATTTACTTCATCAAAAGCCTTATGGTACATCCAGTGCTTTACATACTTGATTTCAACTTTGTTTGCACTGACATCAGCAAGTTGTATTTGGGTTTTTATGCGCAACTGCTCAGTTGCTGCCTTTGGTGGTTTGTTTTCTTTTAGGATCAAGGTAGGTACTTTCATATCAAATCTTCTCCCCCCCCCTTACATTTTTTCCATTCATTCATTCATTTAGTTTAGAGATAGGGGAAAGGAGGGAGAATGGGAGAGAGAACATTGGTGTGTGAGAGATACATCAATCGGTTGCCTCTCCCAAGCCCTCACCTGGGGACCTGCCCTGCAACCCACGCATGTGCCTTGCCTGGGAATCAGACTGGTGATCTTTCTGTTTGCAGGCTGACACTCAGTCGGCTGAGCTATACCAGCCAGGGCTAAAATGTTATTTTTAATTCCTTCTCTGGTGGTTCTTTCCTGGATTCTTAGCTTTGCATCATCATACCAGCAATGGAACCAGTATCTTAAAAGTCGCCAAAATAAATCCTTCTCCAGCATCACATGATCTTCTGATTCTACTACTTAACAAAAAATGTCCAAGGCCAGCCACAACAGATCCCAATGAAGCATATAATACCAGTGCCCTTAAAGGTCTTCCCCTTCCCCAGGCTTGCCTGGGTGAGTCAGTTTCATTATTTTTAATAGATAACAAATAAAACTAAATATTAAGTTGTTTATAATTCAGAGTATGGAATCTTAACAAATGATGTCTCCGGGTTTTATATATGATTAAAATATTAGAATGGAAGGTTATTTAGTTCTCTTTCCTAAGTATACAACATGCCCTGATAAATGCTTATGTCTTCTTTCTTTGAAACTTCTGCTGCTATAGATCTATTTTTTCTAAGGTTGCTGTTTTAATTTTGTCATTATTTTAGTTTAAAAGCTTTAAATTAAATTTTTTTACTGTTGATTTTTTTTAGAGAGAAACATCGATTTGTTGTACACTTTTTTTTAGATATCCTACAAATCTTTTAGTGTTTTCTTTTTTTGTTGTTTTTTTAAATATATATTTAATTGATTATCCTATTACGGTTGCCACATTATTTCCCCCTTCTCTTTATTCCCCTCCACTCTGCACTACTTCGCCCTCCCCCCCCTTTAGTTTGTGTCCATGGTTATACATATAAGTTCTTTGGCTTCTCCATTTCCTATACTATTCTTAACCTCCCCCTGCCTATTTTGTACCTACTATATATGCTGCTTATTCCCTGTACCTTTTCCCCCATTCTTCCCCCTCCCTCTACCCCTCTGTTTTACTGTTCATAGTTTTTTATCTTTTTCTCAGATAAGTCCCTTTAACATTTCATACAATAAGGGCTTGGTGACTGTGAATTCCTTTAACTTGACCTTATCTGGGAAGCACTTTATCTGCCCTTCTATTCTAAATGATAGCTTTGCTGGATAGAGTAATTTTGGATGTAGGTCCTAGCTTTTCATGACTTTGATTACTTCTTTCCAGCACCACCTTGCCTACAAGGTTTCTTTTGAGAAATCAGCTGAGAGTCTTATGTCTCCTTTTCTCTTGTTGCTTTTAAGATTCTCTCCTTATCTTTAATCTTGGGAAAGTTAATTATGATGTGCCTTGGTGTGTGCTTCCTTGGGCCCAACTTCTTTGGGACTCAGCTTCCTGGATCTCCTGGAAGTCTTATTTCCTTGGCCAGATTAGGGAAGTTCTCCTTCACTGTCTTTTAAAAAAAGTTTTCAATTTCTTGCTCTTCCTCTTCATCTGGCACTCCTATGGTTTGGATGCTGGAACATTTAAAGTTGTCCCAGAGGTTCCTAAGCCTCTTCTCATTTTTTTTGAATTCTTGTTTCTTCATTCTGTCCTGGTTGAATGTTTATCTCTTCCTTCTGCTCCAAACCATTGATTTGAGTCCTGGTTTCCTTCCCTTTACTGTTGGTTCCCTGTATATTTTTCTTTATTTCACTTTGTATAGCCTTCACTTTTTCCTCCATTTTGGGAAAATATTCAACCAACTCAGCATCCAGATCACCAGTGTTTTGAACTGTGCATCTGATAGGTTGGCTATCTGTTCATTGCTTAGTTCTATTTTAGGAGCTTTGAACTGTTACTTCATTTGGGCCATATTTCTTTGTCTCAGCGTGCCTGTTACGTTGGAGGGGTGGGGTGTTAGGGATTTGCCACGGCGGGGCAACTTGTCGTTCCACATATTTATGCAGTCATTGTTTGATTCTGCACTTGATTTTAGCGAAAAGTCCAGGAAGTGATATTTGATTCTTCTATGTGCACTGACTAGGGATCCAATCTTGGTGAATTGGGGTGATGTTCCAACTGAACTATCTGACCAGGACTAAATAATTTAAGTTTTATTTTGAACCCACATCTGTTTCCGTGTGACTTCCCCATCTTGATGTGACCAAGGTTTTTAACCAAAGTAATAACTAGAAAGCGTATCTAAAGGATAGATACCTGGGTTGCATCCCTAGGGATTTTATTCGTTAAACTTCAGATAGAATTCAGGTTTGGGCTCTGGCTTGTGTGGCTCAGTGGATTGAGCACTGGCCTGGAAACCAAAGGATTGCTGGTTGGATTCCCACTCGGGGTACATAGCTGGGTTTCAGGCAAGGTTCCTGGTTGGGGGAATGTAGGAGGCAAGTGGTCGATTTATCTCTCACACATCAATGTTTCTCTTCCTCTTTCTTCCTCCCTTCCCATCTCTCTAAAAATGAATAAATAAAACCTTAGAGGGGGGCGGAATTCAGTTTGGGGGGTTTGGGAAAGCTTCCTGATAATTCTTATGCTTCCTTAAGTTGTTTGAAATTCTCTTTAATCCTTCTGCAGAATAATCTGTACATTTGGTTTTTTGTTTTGGGGGTTTTTTGTTGTTGTTATTAATTTATTATATTATTTTTTTAAAGATTTTAATTATTTTTAGACAGAGGGGAGGAAGAAAGGGAGAGAGAAACATCAATGTGTGGTTGCCTGTCACATGTCCCCTACTGGGGGCCTGGCCTGGAACCCAGGCATGTGCCCTAACTGGGAATCAAACTAGTGACCCTTTGGTTTGCAGGCTGAGGTCAATCCACTGAGCCACAGGAGCCAGGGCCTTTTTCTTTTTCTTTTTTTTTTTTTTTTTTTTTGAAAGAGTCATTCTATGTTTTCATGTTGTGTCTAAAATCCCCTTGTCATTTTGGTTATTTAAACTGCGCTCTAGACATACTACAGAATGATTTGTGAGTCATTCTGGTTTTGGAGTAGGAGTACTGCTTAGTATTGGTTTTAAACACCCATTCACATAAGCTTTTCTAGAAGGTTACTCTTGGGATATACCATAGTATTTAAATTTTGGGACCAAGCAGAAGGGGTAAATAACACAGTGCTGATAGGTAATTATCAATGCATTCACTTTTTTTTTTTTTTTTTTTTTTTTAATGAGCATGACACTGATTCTGAGAGAGGCATGAAGGATGGTTGGAAAAAAGCACGACTAATTTCATTATAAATATATAACAACTATCCTGAAATAAGGTTTGGTTTCGGTTTTGGTTTTGTTTTTAGACACGGCAGGAGGGAGAAAGAGATGGATAGAAACATCAGTGTGTGGCTGCCTCTCATACACCCCCTACTGGGGACCTGGCCTATAACCCAGGCATGTCCTCTGACTGGGAATCGAACCGGCCACCCTTTGGGTCACAGGCAGCACTCAAATCCACTGAGCCACATCAGCCAGGGTGAACTGGATTTTTTTAATTGCTTTTTTAAAGTGTGAGAGGAAGGACATGAGAGAGACATTGATTTGTTCTATTTATTTATGCATTCATTGGTTGGTTCTTCTATGTGCCCTTAATGGGGATCAAGCTGCAAACTTGCTGTATCGGGATGACACACTAACCAACTGAGCTATCTGGCTAGGGCGCCTGAAGTGAAGCTTGAGCACTGCCTGGCAGTTAGAGCACATTCTCTGGTCAAGTTACTTTGCTGTTCTGCTAACTACATTTTTTATTTTTTTTATTTTTTTATTAGGGGTTTGTTGTTGTTGTTGTTGTTGTTTTACCATTTCCTTAAACATTCAGTACCATCGCTTCTTTCTTGATGGTTTTACTTTGTTTTGGTTGTTTATTATTTTTTAAATTTAATCTTTATTCTGTTTTTTTCCATTACCATTTAGACCCCTTACACCCCGCCACCTCCCAGCAATCACCACATTGTTGTCTATGTCTATGAGTGCTTTTTGCTGAATTCCTCCATCCCATGACCTTGCCCCTGACCCCCCCAGAGCTGTCATGGTTGGGGTTTTTTTTTTGTTTTGTTTTTTTATTTGTTTTTGATTGTTTATTGAGAGACATTTCTTAATCCTCTACCATTAATCTGAGGTCTATCCCGAAGGTATTCAGCCGTGTAATATGAAAAATAGAGACATTTATTGAAGAAAATACAAGATACAAGAAACACTGTACGTAGGACAACGATACATCAGTCCCATTCGAACTAGGCACCTTGGGTCATCACACAGTTCTCTCAGTCACCATCGGCTGCTGCCCCATTGTATTGCCCTGAATCTTATCAATGGTCTGGATCTCTTCCATTTTTCAGAGGTGATTTTAATTTTGGGAAAAACCAGAAGTCACAGGGCAACAGATCGGGGCTGTAGGGGAGTTGAGTCATCTGGGTTATTTGATGTTTTGCCCAATAAAAACCCCTAAAAACTGTAGATGTGATGCGTGAGTGGGCATGTTGTCCTGTTGAAGCTGCCAATCACCAGTTGCCCATAGCTTCAGCCTTCTGAATCATCTGCGTAGTTTCTGGGGAGGAATGTTGAAGCTTAATGCAAAATTGGATGCAGATTCATTGCTCTACTCTCT